ACTCTTGAGATGAAAACATGTTTCCCTATTTGCTGAGTAATGCTTTATTTCATCTCAGTTGATGTTGTTGCTACAAAATAGTTAGTGGGTGTTTTTGTTAGTTATAGTGATGAGTTGAGATGTTTGTAAAGGAATGGAACTAAGTATGAAATTTTATTTTAACTTACAATTTGCTTTGCAATTTCAAAGTGCTTGTTGTGACAATCTTTTGCTGGTCTCAAAGAGTCATAGTGTCTCCATATTCCATCAGCATTGTCAAAGACCACAATTGTCCAATGGTTGTCGTGGTTGATTGGGAAATAGATATATCTGTTTTTCATTGCTTCTGGAAAATGGCTGTCCATCAGTTTTTCTCTCAGTGCTTGATCTTGGTTTTGTAGTGAAGTCTGTAAGTTATATATATGTTTGAAATATGTTATAAAACTATGTAGTAATACATGTTGAGAAAGTAGAAAATTTTGTAGTTGTAAGGTATGTTAAGTTTTGCTTACATTGATGAGTGTTGAGAAAACGTAAGATCTTCCTGCGTATGGATTGCTTGCAAAGACTAGATCGTTTTTCTCAAATTCTTCAATGGTTTGTTGGAGTGCCAATTGCTTTTCTGAGAAGGCATCAATGACCTGAAACATGTTATATATGAGAATGTGTTAGGTTTGTGGAATAGGTTATTGAATATGTACAGAAACTGTAAAATTGTGCAGTTGGAGACCTACATTCCCATATAAGGGTTCCCTGTTGGTCGATCTGCATATATCTGAAAAGTATACGCAGTTTTCATCTTCGCTGCCAGACCAGGCACAAGCACTTGATTGTGTGTTGTTGATGAGTTGAATTTGGTCTTGGTCTTTTTTGGATAGACTATGCCAAACCTTGTTTGTTTTGCGGCATGAAATGGCGAGTGGCTTGTTTGGGATTGATTCTTCCTGAAAATCATCATCACTTTCCAATACTTGAAGTTTTGTCTTCTTTTGATTGGCATGCTCTTTTGGGTTTGTTTCAGCAGCAACTGCTTTCTCTTGGCCAATATGTTCTTGCATCTTTTCTTTCTGCTGTTGGTTTGCTTCATGAGCACCCTCTTTTTTGTTGTCATTCTTCTTCTCTTTTTCTTCATCGGTACCCTGTGTTGGTTTGGGTACATCAGCAGCAGTTTGTGTCTTGTTTCTTGCATCTTCTTTGGGTTTGGTCATTGGTTGGTATTCAAAATCTGGGTCATGTGCTTGTTTTCTTGATTTTTGTTTGATTCTCTTGACCATGGATCTTTGTTGGGTACTGCCAGTTTTTTTAGTGGACATTTCCTTCAATTGATCTTCTTTTTTACGCAATTCAGCCATGAATTTTTTTCCATTTCTTGCATTTGTGCTCTCATGGCTGATATGAGCTTGTCCTTGCCGTCCTCTTTGGTTGGTGTTTGTGGTTGGTCATGACCTATAAAAATGTTGGATTGTGTTTTGGTTAGTTTAATGAAATTTTGCAGTATGCTTTAGTATTAGACAATAGTTTACCTTGTGCATGAAATATATCAGATTTCTCTTGTAGTTCTTCTTGTTGGTTTGTTAGTTCTTGTTCATTGCTTTCTTCTTGTTGGTTTGTTTGTTGTTCTTGTTGTTCTTGTTGTTGGTCTTCTTCTTCATCAAGGTCTTCTTGTTAATCACCTTTTGTTTATTGTCTTTCTTCTGCTTTGTCATTTTCTTGTTGTTCATCAGGTTCTTCTTCTTTTTGTTGTTGTTGTTGTTGTTCTTTTTCTTCTTCTTCTTCTTCAGTTTCTTCTTCAGTTTCAGTTTCTTCTTCTTCTTCAGTTTCTTCTTCATCGGTTTTTTCTTCATCAGTCACTTGATTTTTTTCATCATCACTCTTTTCTTCTTGTTCATCACTTTCTGGTTCTTCTTGTGGTTTTTGCTTTCTTTTCTTTTCTTTTCTTTTTTTTGTTGTTCTTCTTGTTCTGATTGTGATTCTGATTCTGAATGATGTTCTTCTTCGAGAAAGTCATCCTCATCACTGTCTAGAAGTCTTCTTTTTTTTGTTGCTTTTGTTTTCTTTTTTTGCTTATTGTCCTTTTTGTGGTCTTGTTTCTTTGCTGAAGAGTCTGTTGATGTGCTTTGATTGATATGCAATAACTGTATTTCTTGTTCAGTTGGGGTTAAAGCACTTTTGTTAACCTGCATTGGAACAATGTGGCATATATCAGTAATACTGTAAATTTGGTCAGTTTCATAAGATGAGTTGTACTGTGAGTAATGTGGGTTAAGTGTCGAAATATATTTTTTGAAACTGAAAAATGTTACAGTTTCATAACATGAGTGATGTTAAAGAAGTGTGTGCTTTGAAACTGAAAATTTTCACAGTTTCATAATATGATTTGTACTACAATGAATATGAAAGGAGTGTTTAATAGATTTGTGCTATGATAGTATAGAAGAGTTTGAATACCTTTTCAAAATGAGCAAGGCTGATGTGTTTCCACCTGGAGTACATTTTTCCAAGGTTCCATTTCATAAACCTTGGGAAGCCTTCTTTGTTGGATGGTCGGAGGAGTTTACTGTGCTCACAGTACCAGTACTGTAAAAAAAAAAAAAAGTTGAAATATGTTAGATAGTTAGAAATAGGTGGATGTCTGATATTTTTGTGGGAAGTAGTTGAGTAATGTGTTTACCAAGAGTAACATGACGCATCCAGTGACATGCCTTGGGTTGTTGTTTGCATTTGCCATTGAATTCATCAGTGTGTCTTTTATTGCTTCAACCCAATTGTACTTCTTGATGTTGTTGAGGTTGTCAACATAGTTGAGGAAACTCCAACTGAGTGTATGGCCTGTTGTGGGCATGAGAAGTTTCAAGCACAAGTAAAGGGTGATTACCCTTGCAAGATCTTGACAATCATTGGTTGATTTTCCTTTTTTTGTTTGTTGAAACATTTTGGTCAAAGACTTGCCATCCAATCTCTTGACTGATTTGCATCTTCGTTTGTAAAATGGAAGCTCAAAATCCTTTGGTCTTGCATAGGATTTGGTGGTGATGCTGTCTTCTCCACAGTCGACACCAAAAATGAGCTTGACATCACTGCTTCTGAGTTTCATTTCCTTTTTGCCAAGTACAAATGATCTTTTTCTTTTGTTGTAGAGTATTGTCATTTCTGTTACAATGGAATTGTAGCATTTGCACCAAGAGGCCTTCAGTTGTGTTGAGGAGAGAGCATTTATAAGGGGCCAAAAAGGGGTTTTTTTTGCAGCTCTGTCTGTTGGGCTTTTGTGAATTTGACCCCCTTCAACAGTTTGATTACCGTTCCGATGTTGGAACGATAATTAAATTGTTGGACTCTCTTTGCAGGGACTGCTGCTTTTTTTTCTTTTGATGCCTTGATTTTTGTTTTGGGAGTTGATTGGCTTTCTTGGAGCTTTATTTTTTTGGTTGAAGGAGCTTCTTGGTTTTTTGTTGGCTTTCTTTTGTTTGTTTTTGTTGTGGTTGGAGGTGTGGTTGGTGTTTGTTGGGTGGGTGGGGTCTGTGATGTAGTTCTTGGGCTTTTTCTTGTAGGTGGTGTGGTTGTTTTGTGGGTTTTTTGGTGGGGTCTGTTGGGTTTGGTTGTTTTTGGATGTGGTGGTTTGGTTTTTTGTGGATGCGGAGATGGTGGTGGCATTTTAGTGGATACAGGAGATGGACTTTCTGGTTGTTTTTGGGTGTGGTGGTTTGGTTTTTTGTGGATGGGGAGATGGCGGTGGCATTTTAGTGGATACAGGAGATGGACTTTCCAAAGGGGAGATGGTTAAATCCCTGATTGGATTTGTGGGCATACGGGTTTATTTCTTCCAATATCTTCCAACAACTATTTCTGAAAAAATGAAAGTGACAGCAGGGTATGAGTAATATAGTGACAAAACTGTATAATTTTGAAGTTTTATATGCAGTTTAATATGAAATTATATGTATTTTGTTGGTAACAGTTACGAAACTGTATAATTTGACAGTTTGATTTGCACTTTATAATAAGTTAGCTATTTGTTTTGAGTAGTGGTTAAACTGTGTAATTTTGCAGTTTCATTTGCAGTTTGAATAAATTTAGATATGTTACTTGTATAGTGATGAAATGAAACACTATGATGTTGCAGTTTTTATAAGGAAACAGTATGAACAATAGGAACAGCCCATTGTATTTTGTAAAAAGCAACAATAACAACAAGAAGATTAAAAATTCAAAAATAAGAATAAGAGTAGCCAATATTGAACAAGAAGAATAAGAATAAGGTGTTGAATGTGTAAAAACAGGGATTTATGTGTAAAAACAGTGTTTAGAATGTTGAAAAACAGGGGACTATATATAAAAGAGGGTGTATACATTTGGAAGTATGTAAAATGTGTATATACGAAATATGAAAGAATGATGTACAAATGTGAATGAAAAATAATGAATAGGTGAAGAGAGATGTTACTTTTTTTCCCCATTTTTGTGAATCGGAAGTCAGGAACTATGAAATCTCTTCAGAGTGGTGATGGTTCTTCGTGTTGTTGAGAGTCGCCGATTGGAGAATATGAATGGCTTGGTGTTGTGTTGAAGATGAACGGTTTGGTTTTGTGGTTAGGGTAGGGTTTCAAAGGGAATGGAGTCGAACGGAGGAGAGATGGAGGATTGAGAATGCGATTTCGAGCGGCGGAGATGTAACAGTGTACTGATCAGACTGAGATGATTGTGGGTGATAAAGATGAACGGTTACGTTTTCTGGTTAGGGTTAGGGTTTCAGAGGGGATGGAGTTAAACGGAAGAGAGATGGAGGACTGAGGAGTCGATTTCGAGCGGCGGAGACGTGACAGTGTAGTGATCGGACTGAGATGATGGGGACGTGGGAGATGGTTGCGCGCGTGTAAATTGGATGATATATTGTGGGTATTTTCGTCTTATTGTTAATTTGAGGACTTAATGGAGTATTAAATTTGTTTTGGGTCTAAATGGGGTATGATATGCTGGGCTTGGACCTTTAGGTCAGACGCCCTTATTTAATTGTACGAGCTTACCACCAAGGGCCTTGGCAGCATCATCACGTTTACAACCAAAATGTTGTTGGAGATCCTCAAAACTAAGTACACTCTCTGTTGTGCATTTTCTCTTTAATGTCTCCCTTGAATTTGTCTCATCTGAATGAGATACGGTAGAGCTGCTCTGACTTGCCCTGACAAGATGAGCACTGTTGTTTGTAACATCAAATTCCACCAATGATTGTTGTTTTGATGAATCAAGTTGCACCATCTCTCCTCCACCTAGTAAGGCTATTGTTCGAGGTGAAGATCTAGCATGTAGGGGTGTTTGCACGCATCGAAGCCTCGAATCATGTTTCTCATGCATAGATGGACTGATGACTTCTATCAATCTTTCCTTTTTTCTCTCCTAGTTTACCAAACAGAAGTTCATTGAGAAGAAGAAAAAAAAATAGCCTTACTAGTGAGAAAATTATTACTTTTCATAATAATTATGACTAATAAAATGCATTGACAAATAGAAATAAAAATATAAGTGAGTTACTGGTTAAAATGGCCACCGGGAGATCCCATGCTTCCTACATATGCGCTTCATTGTAGATACGCTAACTGCACGAGCAAGAATCTAGATAAGGGAATCACATTCATATCTTACTTCCACAAAGAAAACAATACAGCTTCTACTTGGAAGAAGAATTTAAAAGGTCCAAAAACAAAACCAAAAATAAAATATAAAAAACAAGATTTGTAGCTTCACTTTATTAAGTGTAGAATCTTACCTCCAAAACTGTTTGCAACGTCTTCACGACTACTGCCAAAATTTTGTTCAAGATCCTCCCGAGTAATTACACTAATGCTTTTGTAATTTCTCTTTAATTTGTCTCACTACAAGAAAACGGGGTATATGAGACGGAACTATTTGCGACGGCACACTTGCCGTCTCAAAAAGTCACTTTTTGTGACGGCAGAAAATTTTTCTGCCGTCGCAAATACTCTCATTTTTTGAGACGGCAAATAGTGCCGTCGCAAATGCTCTGCTTTTTTGAGACGGCAAATGGTGCCGTCGCAAATACTCTGCTTTTTTGAGACGGCATTTTCTGCCATCACAAAAAGTGGCTTTCGTGTTTTTTTTTTAGTGAATATTTTTAAAATTTTAAATATTTTTTTTAGATGTACCTTACTTAGATGTATCTAAAAAATAAAAAATTTATGAAAAAATATTTTTAAAAATTAATAAATACATAAAAATACAAAAAAAAAATGTATTGAATTATGGTATTTTTTTTTGTATTTTTGGTATTTAGTAAATTTTTAAAAGATTTTGGTGATTGTGGTTTTGAGATAGCTTCATATATATATAGTTACAAAATGATTTGAATAAATTCAACGGTATTTTTTTGTCGCAAAAAAAAAATTAAAAAAAAACAATGTCGTCTTACTCTTTTGATATAACATTTCTCTTTTCATTCATTTTTTCATCTTCCTGTCTCTCTGTCTCTATCTCTCTCTTCTCTTTATCTCTTTTTATTCATTTCTCTCTATCTCTATCTCTCTCTCTTTCTATGTCTGCTTGTTTCTCTCTCTCTCATTTTCTCTCTATGTCTCTCGCCTATCTCTCTTCTCTCTATCTCTCTCATCTGTTTTCTCTCTCTGTCTCTCTCGCTCATTTCTCTTATCTCTATCTCTCATTTCTTTTTTCTCTCTCTCTTTCTCTGTCTTATCTTTCTATCTCTCTCTATCTCTCTTGCTCATTTCTCTTCTCCTTCTGTCTCTCTCTTTTTCTGTGTCTCTCTCTCGCTCATCTCTTTTCGCTCTATTTCTCTCTTTTTTTGTCTATCTCTCGCTCATCTCTTGTTTCTCTCTTTTTTTTCTATCTTTCCATCTCTCTCTTTCTTTCTCTCTCTATCTCTTTTTCTGTCTATCTTTCTCTCCCTGTCTCTCTCTCACTCATCACTCTTTTCTCTCTCTGTGTCTGTGTCTCTCGCTCATCTCTCTTTTCTCTATCTCTCTCATCTCTCGTCTCTCTCTGTCTCTCTTCTCTTTATCTCTCTCGCTCATCTCTCCTCTCTCTATCTCTCTCATCTTTCTCTATCTCTCTCGCTCATCTTTCTTCTCGCTATCTTTCTCTCTGTCTCTCTCGTTCATCTCTCTTGTCTTTATGTCTCTCTCGCTCATCACTCTTCTCTTTATATCTCTCTCTGTGTCTCTCGTTCATCTCTCTTCTCTCTCTGTCTCTTTTTCTGTCTCTCACTCTCTATCTCTTTCTCTCTCTCTCTCTCTCTCTCTCTCACTCACTACGCTGGCCAACTTCCATTTTTATTTATTCAAACTTCCATTTGATTCAATTTCATTTTTTTATTTATTTCCGGAATAGATCGTAAGTGTATAGGTGTTTCTTGAATGA